TAGATTTGTTCGAGCTTCTCGTGCTTCGAGCATTGTTTCCATTGAGGGAAGCTGCTGCTTCCAAAGCTCCTTGATATGATCGTAGTAACTCGTACGTGGCCATAAAGATGTGGTAACGCGTGATACATAGCCTTGTTCGTGGCATGATTGCGGGCACTGTTTCTCGCAGAAGCCACTGTTTGTGGAATTCGTCAGAGACTGCAAATTTATTTTAGTTACTCATACGTTCACGATATTTTAAATTTAGATATTCTGTGGTTATGAAAAGGGTGTAAGGAAGGAGAGTTTTGTTGTAAGAGGAAAAACACCTTGGGCACAGTCTGAGATAACGTAACAAGCACTGTGGTACTTACGAAAGGAATAAAATCGTAAAATCGAGTCAAAAGAATTATATCAAAAACTGCTCCATATTTTTCGAAGAATTCTGTCAGAGGCGGATGCACTCGGAATGCCCGGAATTGTACAAAGTGTCAGAAACAGTCACTCATTAACAGGGCTGCCGATAAAAATTCCGTCTTCTACCTGCAACAACTACTCTTTCTGTGTTCAGAGCTAGAGAATGAAGCATAGATTGTCCACCTACGTTTTGCTCCACGACATTTCGTAAATTTCATTCTCCCTGACTTTATCTTCCCTTTTGAGGTTGCTTAGAGGCAAGCTAATGGCAAAAATCAAAAATTCGAATTCGCTTTCGAAAAGCAATTGATATGGTTCTGCCATAACCATGCTAGGTGTGTGAGAATATCTCAATAACATTAACTTGTGATTCTCGCATCGTTTGTTCCAGTGGTCTTATTATCCTGGATTATTGATATAAAATTCATTTTAAAATTTAATTTTGATTTGAAATTTTTCACAAAAACGAAAACAAAACCGCGCTAACCTTTCTGACGCATTCGAACGATCTTGTGAGTGTCATATCACAAGCCGATGGTTGACTGTTATTGATGGCATAGAACGTGTGAATATCATCTCGTGTGACAAAACTTGGATCGACACAGTTGCAGTCCTATTGAAACCTATATATTCGTTTACTGTCCAAAAATTTTAGGAAATTATTAAAATTTTCTTCAGGCGAAAATTACTCCTACTTTTTTGCAAACTGCTATGTGTTTGCTTCAATGTGTTCGTGCCATTTATTCATTTGATGGCTTCTGCTAGCGGAAATCTGTGATGTATGATGATAACAGCACGTGCTTGACTTTCATATGCCGGTTGCATATGATATTTTCGGACTTATCTAATTATATTCGGCGAGCACAGCGCACTGGGAAAGTAGTACCGTCGTTGTCGTGTAGTATGTTGGGGGTTCAGCTTCGGCAAATTTCTCTACGATTCGTTAATTTGTTTCGATGGTAAATTGGCACTGGCACAAGCCAAGGAATCAAACCCGGCATCGACAGACTTGCTGACGTGTGGTTGTTGTTGGCATTTACTACCACTTAGGGCAGTTTTTGAGTGTCTCTGCCTTTTATAGAGAGCGGATACGAAGACGGTTTTAAACTTTGGTGTCGGAATTAAACGAATTTTGTCGGAATCGGAATTAAACGAATGACTTAGCAAAAGAAATAACAAACGACATGATAGAAGATAACAATTTTCAGCAATTTTGTCTGAGAAGGTTTTCTGCTGTCCAGAGACTTACTTCTACCAGGCGTCTCTGGTAGCACGATTTCATGCACGCTTGAGCCGTATAGTTCACAGGGCCACTGTATCCAGCGGCTCGCAATGCATTGTGATATCTACAAAACGAATATTTGTTAAAAAAAAAAAAAGGGATATTCTGTTTAGCATAGTAAATGTCACCGAAAAGCGAATTATTGTGCAGTCGATGACATAATTTATAGTTTTGTTTTCTCAAACACATTTTTCGAGGCATTGTTCGGATGGGCCGTTTTTGAACACTGTGCCTTTTATCTTTTAAGTATTACGAATAAAGAAAGATTGAGGAGCGGCGGCGACAGGGGTGTAGAGCAAGTGTCTGGCTGGTGCGGACAATGCTCCTTGACAAAGTGTTTTTCTTTTTCGACACAGTAAAAGAGGGTTATGAATGAATGGCACTTTAGGCGCATTCTTTAACATATTGGTGGAAAATTTCGAAATACCAAGCGTGATAATTTCAAATCTACTGAGATCCTGTAAAGTCTCATTTGCATGGGAAATTTTGCATCCAAGAAAATTGAAGGGACACATCTATTGGGAATGTAGTTGCTTCTTGCCGAATCCTTTCCCGGGCCTCTTCATTTTCAAAATGCCATATTTGCTTACCTTCTGTGATAGAGCGATGCATTCACCCTGAAATTTTATTACTTTGTTGCACTGAAACTTTTTATGCTTTGGCTAGTTTACGACCAGTTCGCTTTCTCCGTCCTGAGGAAAACTGGAACTGAATGAGGAGAGGAGACCGTTTTTCCCGTAGTACTCATTCTGAGGTAGCTAAATTTAGTTTTTACGAGGAAAATTATCTTATGATTTCTGGAGAGGCTGTGATATAATAATACAAGAAATCTCAGAACCGCCAGGTCAATTGATGTAGGAATTTTAAGCTAACAAAATTATTGGGATATTCTCATACACCGGGGTAACCATGTCAGGTCTTTCGTTCCTGAGCTACACATGCCCGCCTGTTCGATGTATGTGCGCCAATTTTCGAAGGTAGCCCGAGTGGTCGTTTATTTTCCCGTGAGCACCATTGCTTTTGTATGTGGATTAGAACTTAAAATCGGTAAGAATTAACCATGGTCCGTTCGGATCGATTGCGCCGCCGAGATCGCCACACTCCGTTCCATCGTATGGCAGTGGCATTCGTGATATTCGCATTTGTTTTATCTTTAATAATCAAAATATGTGTTAATTTTCAACTGTTAACATATGTAGGTGGGAAAATAATCACGCAGAAAGGTAAAAAAGAGTCAACGCATTATCAAAAATGCAAAACGAGAACCAAATCCATGTCTTCATGTAAATCGGACCGCACGTTTGGAGTTCAAAAACTGTCTCATTTTTTCAAAATACACATATTATTCAATTCCTCCCAAACTGTGAGTAACACTGAACCTCGGCGTAAATCAATTGTTCTTCCCTAATCACTGTCAAGGAAAGGAAGAATCATTCACAAGCGACTCTATCGGATAACATGCGTAAACAGCAAGTGCACACTGCTGAACATATAGCGTTTTTAGTCAAGCTAAAATTCTGATGATTGTAACAAAATTTCGAACTATGGTAATGAGCGTCTTACTCCTACGGACGTCATAACGCCAGGCGATATCGTAAAGCCCTTGTCTTCCGGAAAGGGAATATATTCAACAGGATGCACTTCGACCTGAAATTTGTTCGATGCAAAAATAATGTTTCGGAAAATTTAAAAAAGTTTCTTCCGAAAGAGCAGTTTTTGAAAATTGTATGAAGCGAAACCATCATGCTTGATATGAAATTGATATTTTGAGCTTAATATTTAGGATCTATTTAGTAATGTTTACTAAATTTATTCAATTTTTCCAATTAATGCGGCATTACATTTTTTAGCTTAAGTGTCCACATTCGTTTTTTTGAAGTCCTTTCATGAAACTGTGATCAAGAAGCCGAATGGGACTTTTTCTTTTGTAACAAAGGAGCATTTCGTGCAAAACCATTAAAATACCTATAAGCTTGTGGCATAATTTTGCCCAATCTTCTTTTTTAGTTGTAGCCGGCTCTTCATTCCTTTCGCTCCTTCACAGATTCTCAAAAATTTGAACCAAAAATATTCGCAGCTATTTTACAGATAAAACTAAAAAAAAGATTGGGCAAAATTGTGCCAGATTTACAATTTGACCTAATTCTTTCTCGAGTTAGAAGTAAAGAACGATTTGACTTAAATTTCTTTTTTTTTACAAAAAAGTAAAATTGCACGTACTTTGAAACCGGAACCTTGAGAATGCCTGGCTAGATACTCTCGATCGGCAACATACAGTGTTAGCGATAGCCCGTAAAGCGGTCCAACAAAGCCACTGTATTGTAGGCCGGTCACTAGAAACGTATAGCAGTTACCATACATTCCGTGTTCCCATCTGAAAACAATTCATCATACACTTTCATTCGCTGGCATCTGCTTTTCTGGATACTGACAGCGTTGTTGCGTTGCAGTTGCATTTTTGGACTGCTACTTCAAAGTACCAATGATTAAAGCCTGAAAAAGTACTGTTTTTAATGAAAAATTGGTACCGGCAAATACCAGTGGGACCAAGTCGCCATCAACTTGCTTGTAAGCAACCCTGGAAAGACGGGACTATGGGCAGCTTTGCCAGCGAGTGGTTGTTGTTTTGCTGCCGCTCAGGATACTTCCAAGTGCCTCCGCCTCTCATAGAATCTTAGCAGTGGAAGAGATTTTGACTTTGATTTTTGACTAGA